AAGGGAACTAGTGTTTGTTGTAAGACATGTAGTGTATGTACTGAGATGACACTTCTATTCATTTTCCTTGTCCAAAATTCAACTACACTTGGAGATTCACAAAATCAATATACAATTACCTATACTAATTAAATTATGATAGAGCGAGCCGACACTGCAATAATATTGCACATTACGCTCTCAATATAACTAAAAACGGATTTCTTCTACAATTCTAATTTACATTATTATAATCCAATTTTCAAAATCATTTGTGCCAAACATCTCTAGCATGTTAACCTAAGAAGTTGTTGGTTATAGAAACAAAATATATACCCATAAATGAAAAGAAAAGAAAAGAGACCAAATAAAATAACTTCAACAGCTCCAAACTCACACAAAAAATGCATATAAACAAGATATATATATATATATATATATATATATATATATATATATATATATATATATATATATATATATATATATATATATATATATATATATATATATGCACTAACCTTGTCATAATAACCCAACTCTTCTTTTGCTCTGAAATGGTTACCAATGATGTACAACAATAACCTAAGACAGTTCTCTTGTACGTATAAAGAGGATAACGAGGGCACAAAGTGAAACGGTGAGGGCTCTGTTTGAGAGGAACGACTGGAAGATGTTCCAGAAGTACTCTCAGGTTTTACGTATTTGTTCCGATTTCGGGATAACTAAACTAGCGTTAAAAAACTGCGCCTCTCAACACAAGCGAAAAAGAACAGCTGCAATAGATCAACAGCAGGGTTTTTGGGGTGTTTTTTTCTTTGTTTTTATTCAGTTTCTAGGTTTAAAAGGAAGCTAGCAAAATTAAGATAGTGCGGGCAGTGCACTAATATTGCACATTGCGCTAATATTGCACAGTTTAACTAAAAACATATTACTATTCTAATTTACGTTATTACAATTTAGTCTTGGGACTCTTCACAATCAAGAAACGAAATCATTCGTACCAAACACCACTATCTAGCAGCTTGTTAACCTAGACTACAAGTGTTATACAAGCAAAATATGACGATCACTACCAATTAAATAATAATTCAAATTATATTGGTTACTCTGTTTGTAGTTCGTTCACCTGGAATTCTCAAATCGAGCTTCCAATTTATTTTCTCAACATTTCTATTTACGCAACCACGTGCTAGGTTATTCTATATCAGTATCTCTAACAGATGAGTTACCAAAATTATACGCTAATGAATCATATCCTAAGATTGTTTATACACAAATAATAAGTTAATCTTACAATCAATCTAACAAAGTCAGGAGAATATCAAGAAGACGTACATACACATCATCATATTTCGTTCAAGAAAATGCGATTTCAAATATCTGCATATCGTAAATCATATATATATATATATGAAATGAATGATAAAATTCAAATGTACGATCTTAGTGTGTTTAGTAGAGATGATAAAAAACTTATTAATCTTACATTATCTAACACTCTATGCACTAAATTCTGCCAACAGTTGCGAAATGAAATATTGTTAAATGTTGATTAAGAAGACACTATGCAAAAATACAATTAATTAGAAAAAAAGGGGAAAGGAAAAATGGAGACACACTTCAATTTAATTGAAATGGAGATTCGGCCATAGCTTCAATTCCGGAAATTAAATTGTACGCAGAGTGAATAAATTAATGGGTAAATTCTACTTTCCCCCTAGTCCTCTGGCCCAATATCATTTTACCCTCTTCTACTATCGATTTCATCGATTTGCCCCCATGTACTTGAAAAATTGTCTCAATGTGGCCCTCACGGTTAATTTTCAAACCTTTGACCTTAACACCGTTTGATCTAACTATGAAAATTGCAAAAATTCCACCCCTCCCAGTTTAAATAATTATTAAACAAAAATAAAAAATAAATCGTGGCTGGCGTCGTGGACTACTTTTCTCGTTGTCTTCAATTTTTAATTTTTTTGTTTTTTGCTATTTTTTCTTTTGTATTTTTAATAATTATTTAAACTGGGAGCTGGTGTTTTTGTAATTTTAGAGCTTAGATCAAAAGGTGTTAAGGGCTAATGTCAGACAACTAACAACGAGGTCCACATTGAGACAATTTTTTCAAGTACATGTGAGCAAATCGATGCAATCGAGAGTGGAATGGAGTAAAGTGATACCGAGCCAATGTATAGAGAAAGTGGAATTTATCCTAAATGAATACATATATTACATGTATGTATATCTAGGCTATAGATATAAATTAATACATATCATCTTCATTGTTGAATTTTTGTTCATCTTCTCCAGCAAGAAAGCCCTAACGGTGGTTCCCGGTTTTCAGTTTTCCAGAAGAAAAATAAATTAAAAATAAAAATAAATAAAATAATCTGAATTTTTAATAGGCAACGAATATATGCAAGACGAAAATTACTAAGTGCAAGACCAAAATATAAATAAACTTAATAAGATCAAGACTGGAAATTACAAATATAACCCCAATATTAATTTAGATATTATTAATTCAAATTAGGCTAATTGCTATTGCAAGACCAAAAAAAAAAAAAGGAATAAAAAAAAGGAAAAAACGGGAGGGAACTCACTCCCCCAACAAAACCCCAACATCTTCTTCTTCACACTCATTTTACACACTTTTTTCCACAAAAAAATCTTCCATATTCTCCAAAACCCTCATCACACAAAACCCTCAAATCTTACTAAAACTTGAAAAGAATGACATTATGGATACACAAGACATAAGTATGGAGGATTCTAAGGTCGAAGAACACAAAGAGGTAAGAAATATTATACTTTGTGATCGTTTTTCTGGTTTTTCGCACCTCATTTCACGTACAAAAAATTCGACGTGTACAGGTCAAGATATGCTCCGAATATCGACACAACTAGCGTCGAAAAATTCAACATAAATCGACACTCTTTTACTGTCGATTTTTATTGAATTTTTCGACATTCTGGTGTCGATATTTGGTGCATATTTCGACGCTAGTGTGTCGATATTCGGAGCATATTTCGACCTGTACACGTCGAATTTTTTGTACGTGAAATGAGGTGTGAAAAACGAGAAAAAACGATCAACGGCGACGACTGCAACGGCGACAGTGGATATTTCTAGTGTTTGTCGACTGCAACGGCAACGGGGGAGGTGGTGGACTTCAACGGCGACGGCGACGGCGGCGGGGCGACGGCGAAGGGCGGCGGCGAGTGCTGCAATTTTTTTTTTTTATTCCCTTCTTCCCTCCTCCTCGTTTTTCAATTCTCGTTTTTCAATTAGCTTTTTCTTTCTTTTTAATTAATTTTTATTTTTTAAATTGGTCTTGCAAAAGTAAATATTTAATAAAAGAATTTTTATTTTGTTTGTATTTTATTAAGGTTATTATAGTCTTTTTATACTTAATTTGATTAAAAAGATTAATTTGGTCTTGCCCTAAGTAAATTTGTGATTGCAAATAGTCGCTGCCTTTTTAATAACCCCACACCCAATCGATTTTATTTTATATAGTATAAAATGAAAAATAAAATTGTTATTATTGATGGAGGATAAACTACGGACACCTCTGAGATAAAGTTACATTACAAAAAAATCCCTCATGTTTCGGTAATTACAATTACCTCATCAACTATGAATCTTCTTACACGTTCAACCTTATAGTGTCAAATTTAACATAATTTTCTAGATTTTGTGGAATGTATTCTAGTTTGTACTTGTTTGTTACAAAAATGAAATTTCTGATGCATCACAATCTGATATTTACAAGCCAAGAGAGACGCATCTTATGTTAGAGAGACTAACTTGTTTCAAAATGTGGAGCTCGAATGAGATAAAATTGGTACAAATTGAAGAATATTTCACATAATCTAGAAGATTTCACTAAATTTAACACGGTAAGGGTGGACGTGCAAGACGATTCATGGTTGACGAGTGGTTGTAATCGCCCAAACATTATAGGGTTTTTCATAATTTGGACTTAATTACCTCAAGGAGGTGACCGTAAGTTACCCTATATATGTAATATCTGGAAAAAATATATAAATATTGAAAATTTTAATTTGGTATATATTTCAATTTCTACAAAAATAAATACAAATTTTGGATTTTCCCCCTCAAATTCAAAATGAATATTGTTCCAAAGAAAAAAAATATTAAATTAAAAAATATTAAATTTGGATCAAATTTTCACCCTTTTCACCCTAATTCTTAACACCTCTTTAACTATAATATATTGCAAAGCATTTTTTTTATAGAATTCATTAACCAATAATAATGAAATTTTTGCCCCTACGTTATGGGTAGTTTTGCTAATAAAATTGATATTATAAATGTAATATTTAGCAAAAACAAAATGAAAATTAAATCGATAATTGAAATCTCGTATATATTCCAATTTCTACAAAAACAAATACAAAATATGTACACCAAAAAAAATCAAAAATCAAAATGAAAAATATCATTCCAAAATAAAAATATTAAAAATTAACATAGGTGGATCGAATTAGACGAAAATCTAAAATTTCATTCTAATTTTCACCCTTATTTCAACATCTCATTACTTAATAATCATAGTGATAACAATGACATTGTGCCCCTAAACTAAAGGACGTTTTGCTCATTATCCATCCATCTAACAATCGTCGCAATGTTCACCAGACGTGCCATTTTGGATCTTAATTTAAACGTAATTATATAATAAGTACATGAGTTTATTCTATGCTACATGTAATTTAATCCAAGTGCAATCCAACCAAATTTGGGAAACTTATAAATTGTATTGCTAAATATTTAATAAAATTATTTTTAATAAAAAAAAGAAAGAAAAACAAAATCCCATTTCAGATATCAAGAATTGAAATCCAATTTATATAATCCAAAAATTACAGGAATAAGATTACACCTCAACATTTCATTTCACTCACCATCTAATAAAACACATTCTGCACTTACAAAATAAAAAAACATTAAAAATTAAAAAAAAATTAAAAAAATTATGCATTCTTGAAAAGAAATGGCGACTGACAATTCATCGAAAGTGGAAATGCTAGTAATGTACAAAGAGTGCATGCACAACCCTGCGGACTCCAACAGAGATTTCCTCCACGATGGCTGCGGCCTCTTCGAGGCCCCTAGCGGCACCACCACCAGATCCCGTGAGGCCATGTTCCGTGCCGTCTGCGGCTGCCACCGCAACTTCCACCGGAGAATCGAGGTGGAAATTCCCCCACGCCACCGCTCCTCCCGCTCCTCCTCCATCCGCCACCACCAACAACAACAACAGCCCTCCTTGCACCCACACCAACCACAACAGCCCGCCTCGCACCACCACCACCACCGTGGTCGTTTCGCTCCCAAGCAGGTGGCGGCTCGTCGGCAGAGGCGGGCCCTAGCTCACCATGTGGAGGGAACTTCTGCTGCGGCACAGGAAGTGCCACCTCAGCATGGGGTGCGTGCCCCCTGCAGAAAGAGAATAACGAGGGCCCAAAGCGAAATGGTCAGGGCCTTGACTGAGAGGAACGACTGGAAAATGTTCCGGGAGTAGTCTCAGGCTGAGGTTTTATGTATTTGTTCCAATTTTAGAATAACTACACTGGCGCTCAAAAACTGCATCTCTCTACACAGGCGAAAAAGAAAAGCTGCAATAGCTGCAATAGATCAACACTAGGGTTTTCGTTTTAGTTTTTTTCTTTTCGGTTCCTAGGTTTAAAGGGAACTAGTGTTTGGTGTAATAGATGCATTGTATGTACTGAGATGTATACATCTCTGATTTACAATTCGTCTTTTTTTATTAAAAAAGTAAGACCTTTGGATCTTAACTTATTCATTCAACTGAAATTAGATCTTCTCGTTTATATCGTTGGAAAAGTTGTTGAATCCGTTGCAAACGAACATTAATTAAGGTAAGAGCTCTCTAACTCATATAGACGGCAAGGCCGTTAGTTTCTTGCCATTTAAGTTAATACATAAATTCATTAAATATTTCCACACAAATTTTAGTGTCTTTTAACTCCGACGACACCCATTATTTCTTTGTGCATACGTCAAACTCTAAATAAAACCATATTTAAGCTTCGCTGATAGGGCTACAGTAAATTTAAGCTTCATGACAACATGCATAAAAGGTAAGCTTCTACAGCTTTTTAGTACAAAACTTTCAGAAATTTTTTCGACGTAACTCATCAGTAAGTTATTTTGTTTTCTTTCTAAAAGTACTATCTGGACAGTCATTAATGTAGTGTACGGAAAGTGACGAGGCGACTCTAAATGACCGGAATATGTGTAATAATCAGTTAGCTGAGATCTAAGACCGCATAAGTTATAATGTGTTCCCCATGCATGCAATCATATTACACGGAAGACGAGGGCACCTTACGACTGTAACGGTAATAATGAAATTCATTTATATAAGCCGATTCTTACTCCGGTAGTATTTTCACCATAAAAAGGGAATAAAAGATTAGAATGAATTTATATGACGACTAGAATCAACGATATGGAAATTCACTTTTAACAAATCTATATTAAAACTGGGAATAAAAGATTAGAATGAAAAGAAAGCAGACCTGCACAAACGGGAGCAGTACCAAATTAAGAACTTCATTGGGAGCTCGCCTGAAGCAGTACAAAATTACGTAACAAAATCTCCCGGTGTATGAACTGGAGTCCCGGTGTAAGTCTTAAGCTTCTCTAGACTTCCTTTTTCATTTGAAGCCAAATAATTATGAGTTACATAAACCGAACTTTCGTCGATCCAACAAAATGTTCATATAATCGATTCCAGTGCTTAACTATGATTTATACGAGATCATTATGGTGAAGATAATTTTTGACAAGCTTCCGAAAATCCGAAACCTATATTCTACACAGCATTATCGAGATCTAACGAAATAGTTAACCAAAATTACAGCCACTAACAACTTTCTTCACATTTGGAAATCATTAAATTCAATACTCCAAAATACGGAAAAACACAACATACCTGAGAAAGCAAGCCAAATACTTGGACGATTAATATTTGGCCGACTTATTAGCATCGATGAGCTAATCTCCTGCTTCACCAAAGACAATAAGTATATATTGATCAAAAAACATATTATAAATTCCAGATTCCAACTGTTACTTTCGGAATCATATCCAATAATATATCAATCACACGTAAATCAACCGTATTAACTACTACATCAGTAAAACAAGCATTAATATATCGATTCGCTTAATTGGAAATACTTAGTAACGAACTTAACAAACTAAGTAAAGGACGACCTCCACTTCGTTTGTTAAATTCATCACTTGCTTCTCAAATCTCAACAGAAAAAACAAAAATCGTGTACACTAGCAAAAGAATGAGAAACTCCACAATGCAAACAAGTCTAAGAAAATTAGTTAACAGATCAAGAACACATTTTTTCAACAAATAAATACTAGGACAAATGGAAAAATGTTGACTTTTGTGTATTTACTATTTTACCCCCACCCTTTTTCTCTACAAACCCTCCTCTGCTACGGATTCTGAAACTTGTGATTCTAGCTTGCATCTTGATTCTAAACAATTTCTTCGCATTTGCAAAATAAAAAAGATAACTTTTTAGATAGCAAAACACGAATTTACGAACAGAAAAACAATCTCACACGATCAAATCTGCAGCGGGTGGGGAAAAACAAAATTAATTTCGAACCAAGAGAGAGTTTTGGGGGGGAAGATTTTGCAAAAAATGCCCATTTCCTTTAATCCACACGTTTCAATTAATTTACTTTAATTTAATTTAATGTTTGTTAGGAATTCAAAATCGAAATTGGGGATTGAGAGAAGGAAATTAAATGATGGGTGTGGCGTGGTTGTGTGGGTTAAGGTTAGAAAAGCGGAACAAAATTTTTGCAATTTTTTTTTCGGTTTACAAATTTCCGATTTCTGAATTTTATTTGTTTAATTAAAATTGGAATTATATTACAAACTTTTTGAAACTCTAATTTGCTAATATACTACTTTCACGAAAAAAGAAATTGATTGAAACGATGTAGCACTAAAAATTGTGAATAAATATGTTGTATACTATGATCGGATTGGGTTAGTCGGAATGTGCTACCATTAGCTTTACGTCACTTTAATTTGAGCTCGTGGTTCGAACTGAAGTCGGGTTCTTCATGTATCCTTTCGGATAATATATGCCCTTATTCAGGTCATTGAAGTGAAGTTTTTGAAACCCCCGCGATTCTTTTAATCCAATTAAATTTTGACAAATTGGAAGTAAATGCGTACGAAAGACGAGAGAAGAAGAAGAAGAAACATGTTGAATAAATTTGGAAAAAAAAAGGGATTGAAGGTGTTTGGATAAGACAATAATTAATTGAAAGTTGGAATAAAAAATGTTTGTTTATGATATTTGTTATACGAAAAAAGAAAAAGGAGAAACAAAAATGAATTACGCAAGGGTAAAATAGTAAATTCAAGTGGATGTGGAGTAAATTGTAAGTGAAAGTTAAAAAAGAAGAGTGCAATGTTCATAGTATTAGTATGGCGACTGAAATGCATCTGAAACAAGACTTTGGGTACTTAATTGCAAATCCCCTCATTTTTTACACCATTTTCATGTTCAGAATCAAAACCAAAGAGCACACACAACACACTCACACAAAGCAACTCTGGAATATTATATCTTAACATATGGGAAGTATTTCACTGTGCCCTTCTATCATCTTCAAATGGTATGAAATTTAGTGTATATATATATATATATATATATATATATATATATATATATATATATATATATATATATATATATATATTTGAAACATTTGCGTAATTTGATGTTAATTAAGCAATCAAGATGGTATTATTCTCTAATCGCCATTAGATACATGATCAGAGCTACTTTCTTTCTTCTTATTCCAGGCAGTGGAAGCGACAGAGCAGTCTTTTCACATAAGAACGTCTCTTCACAGGAAGAAAAAGGAAGTTTCTTCTATAAATGTTATGTAAGATATTTGGGATTGAGACTATAAAGACTCTTAGGTTGTCATTTGAATTTGAAATAGACATTTGGTACCATCATTGGATGAGTTTAGATTTTCTCTTGAACAAGTTCGGTTAGTTTATTCATTTGAAAACATTAAGCTTGGTCTATTTCATAATTCAAAATTTGACCTATAATTTAAGTAAAAGTCTCATACAGTAAAATCTTGCATAAGCAATTTCAAATGGTACAAAAGTCAAGAATTGAACATTCAAGGACATTCAAAGAAGTATGATAAGTCATTCTTGTTCACTAAGGTACATTTAGGAGAAAGATTAAGTGCTGCAATATACTATTTGTAAAAGGGGAATTTAAAATCTTTTAAGGATGTTCAGTTTCATGGGAAAAAAATTAGATTATAGACATTGTCTTTAAAGAGGATGTTGGGAATCAGACACATGTACGCAGAGGAAAACAAAAATTTTATGCGAATTAAACGAATTTAAAACACATAAACACATGTCCGATATTTGAAAACAATTAATTTCGTACCTTTGCGCTTCCAGCGAAATTAAAAACAACATATATGCGAATTATTTAATCGAAATTAAATCAACTAGCATGCTCGCATTAAATCAAATAATCATGCTCGCAGTAAATAATCAATTTCATGTAGTCACATAAAACCATACAACATACTTACTAAAAGAACATGCATATTTAATTTAAATAAAACCGAATCGAACGACAACGGATACGAAACTTTACCTCTTGAAGCGTGAGGTAGGCGCACTAAACGAAGCTAGATTGCCACGGAAACTAATCCGTGCAATCCGGGGCAGCAACGGAGAAACGGCAGGAACGGCGAAGCGAGCTACGGCGGCGCGTGTGGCTCACACGCTGTCTTCGGGCGGCGCGTGGAGGCGCGTGCGTCGTCGGCTCCGGGGCTGCTCTTCGATTCTTCGATTCTTCGGTCTTCCTCTTCTCGGATTTCACCCTGTATACTTCGATCTACTAAAACGTGGCAGTAGACACACAGCAGTTAGAATAAACGGAAGAATAAACAACGAAAAAACTACCATAAATTAATTGGCCAAGGGAAGGCCGATTCTGGCGAGTGGACGGCGACGACGGCGGTGATGGCCGCGGGGGGAGAACGGCCGAGAGAGAGGGAGCGGCTGGGGTTAGTGTGTGAGTTGTGTTTTTTGTGCAAGACCTATAAATCAAATATTTATAGTGTCTTGTATAAAACCCTAACGGGCTTAAGTTGGACCGGACCCAACAACTTAAGTTCGGTAGTTCTTTTACTCGTTCGTCTCTCTCAATTCGATGATCGGAAAATTGTAATAATTACATTTTCGGAATCATTACAATGTCCTCGTCATTACGAGTGCCAATTCTCAATTTCCATCTTTCTAAAAGTGGAAACCTTAATTCAGTGTGCTTTCTAAATTTGGAAACTTCTCGATTTAGAAAGTCCACTAAGATGTTCGCCTATTCTTTTCCTTTTCTTATTCTCATTCATAATTCCAAATTACGAATGTTGGACCCAATCATATTGATTTCCAATCATGCAAAGATAAAACAT